AAACTCATTGCGTAGGGAGGGCTGGGGATTTAGCTCAGCGGCAAAAGTGCCTTCGTGGCAAACGCAAGGTCATGAGTTCAATCCTCAGTACCAAGGGGAAAAAAAAAAAAAACTCACTGGGTAGTCCAGGGTGGTCTTGAAACCATGATAATCCTCATGCCTCCCAAGTGCTAGGATTACAGGTGCATAATACTATGCTAAACTAAGAACTGGATCTTAACTCATCCTGTGTAAATCAAATGTCTTTGTTAAGAGGACGAGAAAAAAAAATCTCTCAAAACGAGGTCTGAGAATTTTTAAAAAAAAATATGAACACTTTACTATGCTGTCCAGGCTGGTTTTAAACTCAAGAGCTTAAGTGATCTTCCTGCTTCAGCCTCTCAGTATCTTCGCGAAATGTCTTATATAAAATGTAAAACAATGTAGCTTCATTCTCGTGGCTGAAAAGTGAGCTGAGCCGCAGATGCAAGATGCAACTACTAAGAACCTGCGGCTACAACTGCTTCTCCGCTCATCATGGGGGTGGGGGTTCCTGGTCTGAACCCACGGGGACCTGCTTGCTAGACAAATCAAGCAGTGCCGCCCCCAAAGCGCGCGTACTGGGCTGTGTCAGGTCTCGTGGCCACCTCACACTTCAGCTGGGCTGGTGCAGGCAGCCTCCTCGAGCCATCCTGCAGCTCTGAGGAGGAGCAGGGCGGCAACCTTAACTCTGCTACCAGCCCTGGGCACGTGGGAAGCAAGGCTCACTGCGAGGAAGAATGCCAGCTGCAGGCCTTCACAGTCCCGGACGGTGACAGCTGGCCGGGACGCTGATTCGCTGGCCAAGCCCAGTGGCGGGGCACTTCCCCCCAGGCTTGTCTGTGGTGGCTTTCTCCAGGAGCAAATGATTTCAGCAGAGGCTTTCAGGACTGAAATCGAGGCTGGCGACCTGCAGCCCTGGTCTTGGGGCCAATCTTCTGACAGGTTCTTCACGAGACATCAGCTGAAGTCCGTAATACCGTAACAAGTGCCCAATGGGAAGAATTCCAGTATCAATCCAGGATCAAGTGAAAGCCCTTAATTCCTTGTATGGAAACAATAAGCAAATGTTCTGTAAACCAAAGAGAAAAAAGCTGCAGACCTTCACCACCAAACGCTCCAGGTTGCTCAGGCCTCTCCTGCGGCCACAGTGTGGAAGAGGAAATGTCCACAGCAGCTGGCCAAGGTGCCAGGGCCACTTTACCAGCCAAAGTTAGTGGTGACAGCCAGGCGTCACCTTGGGGAACTGCAGGGAGGGAGTTGGTGTGCTCTGTGGGGTAGGGCTGTGCTGCCACAGCTGGGGTAGGTTCCAGCCAATATGTGCTCGGCGACACTGGGGACTTCGGGGTCACAGCCTCAAGGCATCACGGCCTCCTGGGCCTGCACTAAAGCTGGGCCCCGTCCACATGCTCATGGAGAAGACTCTGTGTTCTTGTTTCCAGGGCTACAAAAGCCATTGGATATCCAGGTCCCAGATGGACACACCTTACATGACAAAGCCATGTTCTGAACTGTGAATGAGGCTCTTCATGGTCTCTATTCATGACCACAAACAGACTTATAAATGTATTAACAAAAGTAAAAGAGAACCAAGTTAGACTGAATTAAAAAGAAACAAGTTTTTTGATGAGACAATCATAAGGCTGACGAGCCAGGGTAAAACCACTATTGGTTGAATTCATAGCCAAACCAGTGTTATTAGTCCTAGGAAAATGAGGAAATTAATGCTACTTTTCTAGAATGTTCCAGAATCATCCAAAAGGACCTCTGAGGGTCAGCTATTCTACACTGCCTGCACACTGCTGCCACGCCCAGATCACACACACCAACACAGAGCACAAGTGACCAAGGAGAATCTGGTCACAGCTAGGTCCCAATACTGTGTCCTGTACTGCAAAGCAATGTCAGCCCTATGGCAACGAACCATTTGCACATGCTCCAGTGACACCCGCCCGCTGGGCAGTGTGCTCTCCTGGGGTCCTAACCAAAGTCACAGCCTTGGACAAAGCTCGTCAGGGGCAACCAGGATGTGGAAGTCACAAACCTGACACGAAACCAGGCCCGGGCCCAGAAGCCAGGACTCGGGTCATCATCTCACCCAAGCAGAGGCTTTGGCTTCCTTTGCTTCTCCATGAAAGGTACAAGGAACGTGGCCCCACAGCCCAGCAGGCATGCACTGTTCTCTGTCCTCTGAACACTCAGCATCTCCAGCTGTGCAGTCCAGCTGCTCCCAAGCTGGCAGCGGCAGCGCACGACTCACAGGCTCCTGTGCTCGGAGCTGACTTCCAGAATTCGACTAGCAAGGGACTGAGCCAGCATGGGGCACGCAGGGGTCTACAGACCCTGGGTACCTGCCCTCCTGCACTGTCCCCACACGCACCACATCCCAGCCCAAATGCTTCTGCCAACCAGGCTCTTCCTGGAGGAGCAGGGAAACGACCAAGCAACGCTCTAGTGGAACTGATATGGCTTCTCCTCGTGACAGAGGGACACACTCCACAGACCGTGTGCTCCAAGGCTGGGTCTGGCTGCAGTCTGTGGGTGCCCTGCCTCCACCCACATGTGTCATGACTGTCACCCGCTGCTGCCAGCCAGTGCAACCCCAACCTGCCAGTGAGGATGCTTGCAGCAAGGAGGCGGCCCTGAAATCCTGGAAAGTGGGGCTTACACCTGGATGTTTCCTGTCTTCATTTCAGAAACAGGCTGATTTCACTCAGGACAGCAGAAAATCGTGTTTCACAGGAATCCACCCCTCGTTGAGCTGACCACCCTTCTGCCCACCAGGCAGGTTCACCTCCACACAGCAAAGTCACCCAGGCCAAGCCTGGCCAGTGGAAGGAAGAGTCTGACAGCTTCTAACCCTATTAATGAGAAAGCAGATTCTTATGCAAAGAGTAGAAAACTTAGGATATCAAAAGTTAGGAGGTTAAAACACCATGGAAATAACAAATTACCACAACTCACTGACTTCACTGGAATTAGTCACAGGTAGAATGCAGTGGGACTTTGTTTCCTCTCTGGAATGCAGAGGCCTGTGACGCATGCCCGCACCCTGTGGCACACCAGGACGGCAGTACTTGCCGTCAGCCCACCTGAGACATGGTAAACTTCACACAGTGACACAGTGGCACAGGAGAAGTGCCAAGAAGACAGTGTCAGCCCCACCCACAGCACACTTGCTGCAAGGAGCCCAGGATGCAGGGTCTGGTACCAGAGACCAGCACAGGGCTGCGATGCCCAAGCTGACCTGTGGCCCCGTGTAGCGAGCCATTGTTTACAGCTGTGACCCCATCTACACACAGTGCCCAGCACAGATGCCTCAAAGGCTGTGGACAACACTTGTGTCCAGGGTGAGATTACAGAAGAGCACAAAGAATTCATTTCCCCTCATTCCAAAACCATTCCTGACTACGACCGTAGGCACCAAGTCAAGAGGGAGTCCCTGCTGGGACCTGCCTTAAGGAGTCTGCACTGTGGACTTAAGAGCCCAGCCTCGGGGAGATAGAGGGGCCTGGGCTCAGTGCTGGGGCTCCCTGGCTATCTTCCACACTTCCCACAGAGCTCATCCACTCTCAGAAACCCTGCTCTGCAAATTCCAGGCACCCCAAATTCCCTGGAACCACTTCCATGCGCTGACCAGGTCCCTGGTGGCTTGAGAAGTCCAACAATGGTTAAGATCAGTCCAGCTGAGCATCTGAGAGGGGAAAAGGCTGATGCCTGAACTAAATGACGTTCCCCAAATGCCGTTTTCAAATTCACAGCAGCTGCGCAGGTGTCGCTCTCCCCATTTCTCAGACGAGATGTGGGGAAGAGGTCTGAGGGTGCCCGATGCCAGTGCCCCGGGACTGGGAAACACTTCCACCCACCCAGGTCCGGTCCAAACAGGGAAATGAAGAGAACGCAAACACTGGTTTTCACTTTCAGTTTTTATTACCCAATTTGCATAACTCCTCACATCACTACAAAACCTCAAAATACTTTAGTGCTCATAAGAACCAAACCGTGAAAAGATTGTCTTTTAAAACAGCAAAAATGAAAATAAAGACACATGTCCCACAGCCCCAACATCAGATGACTGGCAGGTAGGACCAGGTGACACCAGGGACAGGAGCCTCTCGCCCCAGCTCAGTGTCCCAGGGCGGGGCCACCACAGACATGATCAGAAACACGGCCTCATGTCCAGCCTGTGCGGACATCAGCTGAACAGGCAGTGCCAACAGCATGGCCAGTCTGGCCAGGTGGTCATGCCCATCCCCTGGCATCACGGGCCCCTGCCACTGTCCCTGCAGCCCTGTGACCAGAGATGCAGCTTGGTCCCTGCGGCACCACACCTTTAGCCATGAGCCAACGTTGGCCTCCTCTTCAGAGAACAGCCTGGGTAGCGGCCACACAGCAGTGCTCCTCATCTGGGTCTCCGCCGGGGACACACAGGCTCTAAAGCTCACATGTGACCAGAAGAACAAAGTGAACCCGGCGGACGGATGGGTGATGGGCGAGGCGGAGTGAGTGTGCCCGCGCTTTCCTTCTGGAGCCCCCTCAGTCTCCGCACAAAGCCCTGGACCAGTGGCCAGCAGGGGGCGCCTCGACCACCCAGCTACACAAAGACCCTGTCTCCCACGGCCCGGCCCTGCAAAGGCTCAACTAGTTCGAGGTTTCAGGTCTGTTTATTACTTGTGTGCACTTTTCAGCTCAGCGGGTTTTAGGGTTCAGATGGTTCACCAGATGCCTCAAATTTGAGCATGAAACAGTCCCACAAGCTCCCACCGTTCCCTCCCGTCGCCGGACTGCGCATTCCTCCTCCCGGGCTGCCCATCTGCAAATCAAGCCTGCCTCAGTCCCAGCTGGGTGTGCCCTGCTCATTGCCAAAAGCCTTGAGGACCTGGGGAGTGGCTGCTGCCCACAGCCTCCCCAACATGCAGATGGGCTGCACACTCCTCGGGAGACTCGACACCCAGCGACAGACACACAGGGGCGACACTTACAGGACAGCGAGTGGGTGCCTTTGGGCAGATACTCGAACAGCAAGGAGCCATCCTCTCCGAGCATGTCGGCCTTGAGGGACAGCAGGCTGTTCTTGCTCATGAGTGCCGCACGCAGGCTGGCCACCGCCGTAGCCTGATGCAGGGCCTCATCCTTCTCAGGGGTCAGTGGCGGACCCAAGAAGCTGGCTTCTCCTCCCAGCAGACCCTCATCGACGTGCGCATAGAGCTCAGCCCGCTCTGCTCGGCTGTCTGAACTGCTGGCCTCAGTGACAGTTAGGTCTGCATCTGGGAAGAGAGACACACAGAAGAGAGAACACTCAGGTCACACAGAACTGCAGCTGGGAGCTACTGTGATTCAGCAGCTTCCCAGCAGCCCAGCATCCTGGCCCAACACAGCGCCCTGCGTGTCCCGCCCCATCCTGCCAGCCTGGCCCCTGACACGCGACAGGCTGGGTGGTGGTCCCCACACAGGCCCAGCGTTGGAGACAGGGCCCCAGGCTCAGGCTCGTGGGACGGCAAGATTTCTACCTTTTTCTTTTTTTAGGCTGTGGTTTTGTTTTCCACAGGGTCCCAAGTAGGTCACTGAGTTCCCAGGCTAGGCTTGAGCTTGAAATCCTCCTACCTCAGAGTACTGGAACTGTAGGCATGCGCCACCACCTCTGCCTGGACTTCTGAAGCCTTTTAAAGAAGAAACACCTAGCCAGACATGGTGGCGCACACCTTTGGCTCCCAGCACTCGGAAGCCTGAGGCAGGAGGACTGCTGTGGATTTGAGACCAACCATGAACTACATGGTGAAACTCTGTCTTAAGAAAAAGAAAAAGAGGAAATACCTAACATGCATCGATGACCTACATGAACATTAGAGCTAAAACTCTGACACTTTCAGGAAAACATAGGTGACTTTAAGTTTGGCAGCGGATTCTTAGCAATACCAGAGCATAAGAAACACAACAAATAAACTGCATTTAATCATATTAAAACTTCCTTCAATATGTAACCTATTAACTAGGATTTCTTACTGTGTATTTTTTTCTTAAAATTCTGTATTACTTGTACCCTTTTACTGCTTTTTTAAAATTTCCTTTCTTTTTTCTCTTTAAATAAAAAAAAAAAAAAAACTTCCTGTGCCATTAAAGACACTCTCAAGAGGGCAAAAAGACAAGCTATAGTTTAGGAGAAAATATCTGTAAGTCATATATCTGATAAGAGACTCTGTCCAGACCATATACTCGTATACTCTAATAAGAAAAACAAAATCAGGCATGATGGTGCATGCCTCTAATCCCAATACTCAGGAGGCTGAGGCAGGAGGATCCCTGTGCATTCAAGGCTAGCCTGGACTACACAGTGAGTCCAAGGCCAACCTGAACTGCCTAACGAGACCCTATCTCCAAAAAAAAAAAAAAAAAAAAAAAAGACAAGATAAAAGTAGGCAATATATCTGATTAGACACTTAGCCAAAGATATGCAAATGGCCAAGAAGCACATAAAAAGATACCCACTGGGGCTGGGGATCTAGTTCAGCAGCATAAGCGCCTGCCTTGCAAGTGTGTGGTTGTGAGTTCGATCCCTGGTACCGATAAAAAAGAAAAAGACAAAAAAAAAGATGCCCACCATTCACAGTTACCAGAAAAATGCAAATTGAAACCACAATGAAATACAATTTTACATCCAGAAGGATGGCTACCACCAAGAAACCAAGTAACCAACAGCACTGCAGAGAAGCCAGAACCTTGTGCGATGACGTGGCTGTGAACTATGCAATGGCCAGGGTGGGTCTGGCAGTTCCCACAGTGACCACCTAAGGCGCTCAGCAGCGGGCCAGCTGGCCCTCCGCAGATTCCTTATCTCCAGATGAGAACAAAGTGAAAGAGAAGCACCCGGTGGCATAGGTCTGAGCCCAGTCCCTGGGAGGGGACAGACACACCCAGGCTGTGGAAGAAAGTGCCCCTTGCAAGTAGACACTGAGGACTGGCCCTCACCTGTGGGCCAAGTCAATGCCAACTTCAGTCTGCTCAGGGCCTTCTGGACACAGCTGGCATTTAGAAAAAGAAGTTTATGAGCAGTGATTTCAGAAAGAAAATTCCACAAGCAGAATGGGAAGCTGCAGGCAATCAATCCATGTACAGAGTTCAGTATTACGGAGGACCACAAAATGCACTTTTATCATTGTCACGAAAAAGCTAATACAGCGCCAGGATAGTGATGCACATCTCTAACCCAGCACTCTCAGGAGGCAGAGGCAGGAAGATCACTGTGAGTTCGAGACCAGCCTGGGCTATGTAGCATGTAGTGAGCTTGAGGACAGTCTGAACTACACAGCAAGACCCTGTCTCAAAACCCAAAATGTAAGCAGAGTGGCTAGACAAGGTGTCTTCTGTATGCCGGGAGGCCTGTTCGAAGCCCTAATGGAGTCTACTAGCAGCCCTGTCCACCACGCACACCCCAGGGCCATTTTCTGCACACAACTGACCACCCCAGGTGAGTACTGGGCAAGGGCCAGGGCAGCCTTGGACACCCTGCCCCCAGTCCAGTCCTGTCTGGAAAGAAGGTTCTGGAATAAAGGGCACATTGAGGAGGTCAGAATGCTAAACAGAGCTGACTTTGATTGCCACTGACATGCTGGCCTCACAGTTACTGAGCACACCAAGTGCTTGTTCCCACCCAAAGAACGGGCTGGGCTCCAAAAATGCATGGCGCACATGGGTAAATCTATGCGTTCTCTGTCTGGAGCCATCAGACACAAGCACAGTACATCGTACACACACACACACATGCACACAAGCACATTTACATTCACGAGGTGTGCACATGTGCACAATCAGAGTCATAGAGAGTTCAAACGCATGTAAGCACACGTACTGTCACACGGTGTGGACCCACACGCGCGCACACACACACACACTCGGGCCGTCCGAAGTGCCTGGGCCCTACTCCACACTGTCTCCCTGTCTCTCCCTGTCTCTGTCTGTCTCTCCCCACACTGGCTGACGGCATCTTGCTGTTTTTCCTGGGCAGGTCAGGGCATCACTGTGACTCCGAGTCCTTAACGCATTTAAAAAAAAACAAAAACAGTGACAAAGTTTACTTGAAAGAATGGAAGTGAAGAGTGAGGGAGAAACTTGCTCTGCACAAGTGCAGGCCAAGAAGAGGGAAAAGCACAGCCGGAGGACGTGGGGCTCACACCAGGAGGAAAGCCACGGTGGCCTTCAGGCGTAGCTTTTGAATGAATAAAAACAGAACAGAAGGGAGAGAGGTCCCAGAGAAAGCGCAGGTCTGGCTGCGCTCACTGTTCTCACAGCAGTGGCTCAGCACACGCCACCCGGTGCCCTGGGCACAGCCAGTCTCTGGCCAGGTTGGAGCCAGCATCCTGGGCTCTCCCCACACCAGGCAGCTGGCTCGGACTCGGTGCTGTCCTCGGTGCCCAACCTCTGACTGAGGGAGGCTGCGTGGCACCCGGTGCTCCAGTGCTAGCATGCCCCACTGAGCAGGCAGGATCACCAGCCTGTGCCTTGAGCTGAGTACTGTAAGGGCTGGCTGGTATGCAGGTCTCCTTCCTGGGCAGAGTGGACCCTGAGCCACCTGCTAACAGCACTGGAGTGAGCAGACTTCTCACAGACTCGCAAGCCAGTGGTAACACGGGGTAACACGGGGTACAACGTGATCATGGAACAGGAAGGACGTGTGGAACCACAGGGGCCACCCGGGCCTGGGGAGTGGAGCCCCTGTCTCAGAGGGAGGGGACAAGGACACACGTAGGACCAGGGGGCTTCTGGGTCTGGAGCAGGCGATGTGTGGTCCACCCTGGGCACTCCTTTATCACAGGGCACGAGCACCCTCTGGGCTGTGCAGGCTTGCAGGCAGGGGTGGCTGGCCAGGCTGCCTTGACCTGGGGGACACGGCACTCACAGGCAGAGCACAGCCTCCCAGGATGCCGTCCAGACCAGGCCTCTCCCGGCAGCCGTATGACAGGAGCTCAACCATGCTCAGCTGTGTTTCTAAACTTCTACCTTCTCACCTGTAAATGCTTAAAACTTAAGAATCAGACTTTGTCATTTGAATTAAAATCCTTTCCTCATTTGTGGTTATGAAAAGTTTTTCACATCATCTAAGAAATTCCCTTTGATTTTATGATGACCCTTGGATCTAGGGGACAGGCTCTAGGTACCCCAACGGGGAGAGGCTCACCAGCATCCCAGCCCTTATCTAAGGGGCACAGCCCTCCCACATTCCGGATCTCTAGATGACTAACAATACCTGACACCAAGGAAATGCTGTGCTAACAGACGTTACATGGGACTATTTGGGGAATGGTTACAAGAAAGTCTGTGAATTTCAATTTGTGATTGAACTTGCAGATGTGGAACACACAAACCACTGCATAGATAGTTGGTGTCACAGATTAAAAACTGGCGGTCAGCTTAGCACCAGCTGAGCTGAATCAGCACAGTGCTGACTGTGGATGGCCCACCTGAGGACTGCTGCCAGCATAGAAGGAGACCTGGAGAGGAAGAGCAGCGGTGTGTGTTCTCCCAAGTATTGTTGCTGTTTGGAGCTGTTGGTTCTCCTGGAGGAGCTCATCATGCTGGCTCCCCTGATATGAACGCAGCTGTTATTGTTGGAGCAGCTCGGACCTTGTTGCTGAGAATGGCTGTGGTTCACTTTGGGGGAGCTCTGGCCCTTACATTCAGCTTCGCTTCCTGGCTCTGGAGGGGAAGACATGTGCTGTTTAATCTCCACATTTGTCATGGTGCCTTTGTGATATGTACTCAACTGTTCTCATCATCGGAGGAGCTCGGGACCTGCCTGTCTCTGAGGATGGCTGTGGTACTTTTTGGGGGAACCCTGGTCCTTACTTTAAGCGTTGCTTCTTGGCTCCAGTGTAGAACCCTCAACCGACTGGCACTGATCCTTCACCCCACTAGCATAGACTTTCTAGCTTCCACTGCTGACCTTTGGGCCTTTGCAGCACAGATCTGTGGAACAGACTTGTGTGAGTCATCGTTGTGGGCACTAGATCTTCAGCTGGACTCATACAGGGCCCTGCTGTAGGATCCAGGCCCTCAGCTAGATTTTCTAGGTCTTTAGTGTTGTGGACAGATTTCCTGCACTCTTGTATTTAACTCTGGGTATCATAAAATAATATTATAAATTCTGTGTTCTATATGTAATTGTTCTCCTTGAAACTCCTGACTACAACAGTTGGTTAACCAAATGATTCAGTGGATAAAAGGCCAGGCTGGGCTGGGGATGCAGCTCAGTGGCAGAACACTTGCCCAGCAC